CATACATTTTTTAACTAATCTGTAACGTTACCTATTTATATTGTTTCATTTAATTAAAACCTTATTATTTAAGTTTTCTATATTGGTTTAGTTGTTTGAGCTATGGACTTAAATTAAAAGTTTTAGGCTCAGCATCCGACTTAGACAGACTGATATCAAGCAGTAGTGATACCGTTTTCACTTGCACATAGATAGCAACGTTTCCGAGTTAAAATAGACCTTGCTTAACATTAATGCAACAATATAAAAAATCATCAGTATTACAGAAATTGTAAAAATAAATTCATCACATAAATATTTTTTATAGATTTACCTATATTATTTGTATTGGAAGGTGTATATTTTTATGGCAAATCATATCATATAATAAATTTCATTTTCTAATTATTATTTACTCTTTTAAACAGCAAATAAGAACTTAAGTCGTATAACCTAATTTGGCTTAATATTACGTTGTTCATAACTCTGTGATGAACTTCATTATTACAATTTCTGTAATAGGGCGAATATTTTACTGATGCAGCAATGCCGGATAAAAGCCATTTTCACTTGTAAATTTATTGCTATCTATATATCCAAGTGAAAACCGATGTCAGTACTGCTTGACATCAGGTTCTCAAAGCTAGATCGAACCTGGTCCTCTGATTCAGGTCCAGTTTCTCTAGCCCACGAGTAAGCCTTTATAATAAATTCTAGTAAAATAAATAAATATAAATTCCAATAACATTATCTATATCTACAAATTCCTATAAAAAATTAGTAATTTAAACAATAATAAAATTATTTTATAATTCTATCATTATCAACTTCTCTTTATCATTATTTGCTTAGTTATCACAAACATAACTCATAAGAAATTCCCAAAATCAATAAACATTTTACAGAAATCAATTCAAATTGAAATCATTGTGGTTAAACAAACAGCGCTGGAAAACTTAACGGTTATAAATTTGATTTGAATGGAAGTTCAATTATATGGATAAATGAAACTTTTGTCTGACTAGTTAAAAGATTTTTTTAACAGTAATCCGAACTTAACAAGTCAAAACTTATGAGCGTTTGTGCTGGTTTTTTTAACGACCTGGTCCTTTTTTATAGATGGCAACCCATTTAGTTGACCCATCTTTGTGATAAATTTATTATTATAATTTCTATAATACTTATGAACTTCTATTGATGTAGTAATGCCGAGTAAGGGCTATTTCTGCTTGGAAACATATTGCTCTTTATATTTCCAAGTGAAAAGCTATGTCACTAATGCTGACCGAGGTAGATATTGAATCTGATTGAAAACCCATACCTTTAACCACTAATCCACGGGGGAGCAAATATATGTGAAGTCTGAATGCTTTTCCATTACCTATTAATGTAGCACCACAACAAACATATTACATAACGTTACATTATTTGTCGTGATTTACCGTAGCTGTATTTTAGCAATTAACTTATATAAGATAAACCGCAACCTAATTAATATTTCCTTATAAATCACAATATTTCAATTAAACAGTAGGTTTAATTAATGTTACACAATAATGCGGTAGTTGTATCGATGAGGTATAAGAGGATTTAATATGCAATGCGAAATAGACGAAGAGCGTTATTGTTAGCTCTTTATGAGAGAAAGGCGATTGCAAATCAAATGAACAATGACATCTTTATGTGCAAAAATCTATCAAGGTAACGTAACAACCAAGAGAAGAATTAATTATAATTATTTATGCAATTTAATAAAGGATACTCCGAGAATTTGCTGGACATATCTATTTTTATTAACAACAATGTACAAATCTCATATCTATTTAAACCAAATTCTAGATTTTTTTCGAACAATATTGAAATAGCAATCAGAAAACAAAATATAAGCTATTGTTCTGATTTTTTAGAATACCAGTAATAGTACCTACTGAAATTTTTATGTACATGACGTGATGGAGGGCCACCCCAGAGTGTTACTCCATTAGATTGAAGGGATGTTTAAATGCTGGATTTGAGTTCAAAAATTTGAATTAGAACACTTTTGGCACTTTTATTAACTTTTGAGTAACAGTTTCCAATACAATATAATAATATTTTAAAATAAATCAACTGACTGAAATAGAGGTACCTTAAAAATGTGAAATCTGTTCAAATGAGAAGTACTTCTCCTACTTTTGGCACTTTTAGATGGTTTCTTCATTGGGCAATATGTTATCTATCTACACTGTGAGCTATGAAACAGAATAAATTAATAAACTATGTCCTAGAATCTGAAAATATCAAATGACTTAATCAAAGATGATTATTTCGCCAGGGGTACATTGAAACTTTCAAGTCCGCAAAATGAAAATAGAGATCTCAATGTACCATGGTAAGATCAATTTATTTGGGGCATATAGAGAGTCCATTGCAAAGCCCAAGGATTTCACAATACCCATAGTTTGGGAACCTATGTTTATCAATTATTACCGGTAACAATTGATAACGATAATTTTTGTTTTGGAAATTAGAAAAAAAATTAAAATAAAAAAAATGTTCTTTTCCCAAAAGCAATCGTGTCGTCAACACAAGCAGAAAGTTTTTTCTGATGCTTAGTTCTTTCAAAAACTGCAATTTTTTGCACATTTAGCTCTGTATCTCCGAAACGGCTAGACCTGCCTTTGCCTAAAACTAATCACCTCTTTTCCCCATCATTACGAATTGATTGTTTTTTGGATCATTCAAATCGGATGCTCGATCCTCTCAAAAACTCGATTTTTATTTTCGGCACTCTTTGCTTCGTATCTCCTAAAAAGCTGGACTAACTTTTGCCAAAAACTAATCAGCACGTCTCCCCAACAACAGGAATCAATCAATCAAATCGGTTAGTCCGTACTCTTGAAAACTTTGACGAAATTTTGTATCCATACCTACTACATACATCCATTTTTTGTAAGGTATGCCAAAATGTTCAGAAACCTCTGAAACGTGAAGATATGGAAAAAAAACATTTTCGATTTTTGGTCCATCACTATAACTTACCCTACGGGAAATTAATATGCCACCTTAAAAATCTTCAGAAGATTCATTGATGCCAAATATATTTTATAGCATATTTGTAAAGAAAAAAATATGAGATTAGTATATAAATGCATAAAAAATGTTTATAAAACATAAGTAAATCATATTACCTTAATTAAAAAATATATTATCGTAAATTTTCATTCTCCTCAAGACTACTATTATGAAATTTTAAAGTCTCCTGGTTGTTACGTTACCACATGCATTCAAATTTAACGATATTGTTCGCATAATAAAGGACGAACACGTTCGTGCGTCAAGTATTTTGATGAACCGGCGCATTAATAATGATAATAAACTGTATTCATAAAATACCGAAGTATTCATGTGAACATAGAGCGTACCATATGGGTATAAATCACATAAATTAGTCACAGTATATCCAGGGTTAAGGGCACAGGTGTCATCGCCACACGAGCCCTAGCAGAATCTGCGGTGAAACTGGATACAAAAATAAATCAGGGGCGTTTTAAATTTATTTGGCTGTATTAAATAAGGGATATGATAAATTGCTAATTTAATATCGTAACATAATTCTTAATATTGCCTCCAAATAATGTCTCCAAAATTTTATAAAACCTACATTGAAAGTTCATTCTTTATTCCAAAATGATTAATATTCATGGTAAAATCATTTACTTTTATGAAAAATGATTAGTTTGGAGAAAAGATACATAATCAACTAAAATACATATTTGAAAAATATTTAATATAATCGGTATAAATAAAGGAGCCCATTCTGCCGTAAAATAAACCAATGTTACGGCAAGGCTATGTTATATAGCAGTTTTCATACAAAGTGGTACTAAAAACTTTCAAAATCTTATGTGGTGCAATCAGGCGTTTTAGATAGAAAACCTAACCTAGGAAAGCGGGCGTTCATTAATCACGTAAGGCTTTTAGGGGGTTTAAGAAAAAATCACAATTTCGTGAATTCGAAAAATTCGTTCGAAAAATTTTGCATGACTCAATATACACGTAATGTTTGATGAGGGAGGGGGGGGGGGTATTTGTAAATATCACGACGTATCACCAAGGGAGAGAGGGGTCCCAAAATCCCTAAAAAAATCGATCACGTGATTAATGGACGACCCCAAAAGCACAAATGTAAAAAAAGGATGTTAAAATGTAAAAAAAGCATGTAACAACAAAGGATGTTGATAAAAAAGGATGTTAAATCTTTGAGATATAACTTGATAACATATGAGTGAAGTTGCGTTTTATGTGTAAAACGCCTGATCGCACAGCAATTACAAGGGATTTTGACAGTATATAGTAATATTTTGTATGAAAACTGGAACACAGCCTTGCCATAACATTGGTCTATTTTACGGCAATATCTGCCCAAAATAATATGATACATACCGGTACAAACATTAATTAGTTGTTTTTGTAATGAATTATGAATAATGTTTGATTTTCCGTAGGGTAAGTTATAGTAATCGCAGAAAAATCGCATATCTTACAAAAAACTCGATGTATGTGTGTGTGTGCGTGCGTGCGTGCGTGTGTGTGTGTGTGCGGATACAATTTTGCGTCTACGATTTTGAGAGCACGGATCAACCGATTAGAATGAAATAAATAACGTTCGATTTCTATTGACTGGGAGACGTGCTGATTAATTTTTGGCAAAGGCAGATTCAGCCATTTCGAAGATACAGGACAAAAAGTGCAAAAAATGGCAATACAGTTTTTGAGAGAACGGAGCGTCCGATTTGAATGGTCCAAAAAACATTTTACTTGTATTGAAGGAATGAATTGATTAAACTTCTGGGAAGGCAGATCCACTGGATTCAGAGACCAATAAAAAAGTTGTTAAAAATGCCATTTTTGAGTTGAAAATGATCATTAGACATATGCACGTACTTTTACATACGTTTACATGTCGGTTTAATTTTTTTTTTTGTATTTGGAAGTAAAAAATAGAGAACCTAATTAATAATTATTTTTACTTATTTCAGGCGGACACGGTGAAGAAAACGGATACTTCGGACCCTGGAACGTCTGTAAAAGACTACTCTACAATCGCGAAAAATGTGGGCCCGAAGTGTCAAAGTTCCACCCTTCGGGTAAGTAGATTTAGAAAAAATTAAAAAATATATACTATTATATGTGCGATATATTTTCTCACATACATTACATTTATTTCTATGTGCTATTCAATTTACTACTTTTTTGAGCAATATTGCCCGAGAATTATTAATCATGCCTCCAACGTCATTATCTGAAGAATATCTTCTAATGTTCTCACGTATTTTTATGGAAGCCTAGACCTCATGCCTAAATGCTTTCTTTCATAAGATTTATGAAACCAGGCGTTCGGAAAACTTAACAATTCCAAGATGTGAGATATATTACTTTTCGATAGAATTTTTCGGGGGATTTAGTATGATACCTTTCGCATTTCAAATCCCGGAGTATTATGTACTATCGAGCATTACGGATGAGGAAACTCGCCCAATGTCAATTTGTTAATCTGGGTCTTTGGTAACATACGTCGATTCTGTGGGATGTATGTTAAGGCTCAAAGCAGGGGTGCTCAACCTGTCAAATCGGTACAGGGGATAGAAACATTTTTTTACCAAACATTCAGACTTTTAATATGGTAAACTTGATTTTTTTACAATAAAGGTAAAATTTGTATGTTAATTACGTGTAGTATACGATTTAAAGCAGAGGTACTCAACCCGGCCACATTGAAAAGCTATATGTAATGAGCACGAGTATGAGTACGAGTCATAGATCTTATATTACATGGAATGTTAGTCGAGCGCGTAATAAGTGCTCAAACATGGAAGGGTATGTGACGTCACATGTCTGAGCGAACATTGCCGACTACAATCGCGGACTTTCCCGATTGATTAAATGTCCGCGGTTGTCGTCGGCAATGTTCGCTCAGACAAGTGACGTCACATACCCTTCTTTTACTTTACTATTTTAGTGCAATGTCTAACCAAAAAGAAAGAAACTGCGAGAACTAGATTAGCAAAGTCTTTTAAGCTAATGTCAGTAGTAAAACTGTCAAGTTTCATAAAATGAACCCATTTTTTATCCAACTTACCAGCGCCAGCTTATTCTGTGATTGACAAATATGGTCGTCATGATTGGATTCTGACTGAAAATTAACTGGTAAAAGCTTTATTACGTTAGTCTAACGAAAATATACTGATTACACTGATTTATATAACCTTTTTAGAACTTAGGACCCTTTCAAATTCGCTTATCTCGATTTCTCACAACCCCAGTTAGGCGTTTGCAGTGATATCTATTACACGATGAATGTAAATAAGAATCCTTCTTGCCGATGCTATATAGAAGATTATATCGTGTTTCATTCTCCACAGGAGCTCTATATAATATGAAAAATAGAAGATGATGAAAATGTAGTAACCAGATCGCTCATAACTCATTTGTTTTCCTTGAATGGTTTTTGTAACGCTGCTACGAACATACACAGGACAAATGAAAAATCAAGTAGAACCAAATATATAAAAGAACAAATTAATTACTTATTTTGCCAAATATACAAAAAATATTGAATTAATTCAAATGCTGTCTTTATTACATTTTTTGTTTTTGTAGTGATCTGATATTCCCAAAAATATAGGTTGGCAACTAAATAATTGGGGTTCTCAGCATAGATGGTATTAATTGAACTTTCATGTTTGCTGACGTAGTTCAAATTTAAAAAATCTTTTGTTAATGGATAGTAGGTCCAACTGGTCGTCCAGTTAGAGTTGATTAAAATTGCCTACTTTGAACGTTTATTACCAATCGAATGATCAATTCTTATGCCTTAATTAAGCAACTAACGAAATTAAACAATGCAGTGGAAAAACGGCCTAAATGGACCAATCGAAACGTTGATTTATTCCATTATTGACATTACATACCTTGGCAAAAATAATTAGAGCTTGGTTGGGATGTTTTGACATATCCATAAAACCTTCTGATTACTTTTTGTTTTGATCTCTATAAAATTCTTTGAAAAGTAAATAATTCGATGATTTTGATGGTGTCAAATTGTACCTGATTCAGTTTTTTGCTGATAAAAACCAGAAGTTTTATGAAAGTGAAATGGTGATGCTGCTTGAAAGATGACAAAACGCTACTGATCAAATGGACAATACGTTACAAAATAAAGTAACTTAGTTTTATTCAAAAAAATGTATTTGATTTCTTTATAAAAATCCACAATTACTTAGTCTCCAACCTATATCGTTCGCAATCGAGTCACTTTGGTTCCCATTCTGGTGGCATCAGGAGTTCTCACTAAATTACCGTCAATCGCCTTTTAACTATGCAACAACAGGTTTTGCTATATTTAGACGATCTGTAAATACTAAATTATTAAAAAAAATATTTAGAAATGTTTGCTGTCGTCTTATCGCTGGATTATTCGAATTCATAACGAACCCAAGAAGTATTAAGCGATATGTACCTAAACTCGTGGTACGGTATGTCACGAACCGATGCACGCGACAATTTGTAAGCACGACCAGAACGAATTCAGCTGGGTGATAAAAAAACACAACTGTGGCTTTTGAAAATAATAAAACAAGTGATGAAAAACAGCGCAGACAAGATTTTGCAGAAAAAAGATACGCTCCAGAGACCGACGTCGGGAATACAAATCGTGGCTTTATCATAAAAAAAGAAATGGATCAAATTTGCGAAAGAATTAGGACGATTGTGGTAAAAAAAGATTTTGAATAAATATTTTAATTGATATTTAATAGTTGCTTTATCGTTATTTGAAATAAATACGAAGCAATTTAATTTTTCTTGGGATGTCAAATGACCTAACCGTCGAAGGTCACGTCGAATAAATAAATAAGCTAAATAATCTTGGGGTCGTGCGATCACGCTACGAACTATTTTTTTAATATAATTTGAAATGCATATAAAAATAATCTTTCAATTAAATTCTAAATAGATGACAATGTTCATGGTATGAGATCATCACAAATAAATGATTCCTTTTTCCTTCCTTGTTTATAATTCCCATTACCATTCTATTACTATTAATCACATTTTATTCACTCTTATGATTTTATTTTTCCTGATCTTGTGCTTCGGCATTCATTTCCCTGTATTTTCTCTTCTCGCGTAGGTCAACAACCATCTGCATTCTTCTTCTTCCCAATCCTTCTAGCCCTTCTATTTTACCTTCAACAACGTCATAATGAGACACTTTTTTTGCTGGAATCCGATCCAGTTTCCTTTTCTTTTAATAATCGTGCTCAGTAAAGTTCTTTCTTTACCAATTTTTTTCAGGATTTCTTCACTTGTTACCTTATCAGGTTGCCAAATCAGGAATAGAACCTATACTAAGCCAAAGTTCTTACCGCTTGAGCCACGAACAAGCCATGATGAATTATATAGAATATCGAAAAATTATAGTTTAAAAGTTTTCAAACGAGCAGGTGATAGCCTCTCACCATTAAATAATTACTGATGGTCAATCGATCGATATGGCATGTTTATTACGAAAGCACAGTTTTTCCCAGTTTCAGATCGAATGTATTTGCTATTAAAGCCTTGAGCGTTGCCACCTCCTGTCATCAACTATAAGTTCATATATTATCGATAAACTCGTTTTATAAAGTGCTAAGATTGAATCAGATCTTAAAAATATGGCATAGTTGAGTCATTACGAATATTTTTATATGTATATATATATATACGAAACGAATCAAATACTATATACGCTGGGTAATTATTAATTAATTGCCTTGATATAATTAGATATGGGCTTTTGGACTATATTTTGTATGTGTGCGGATACAAATTTTCGTCGACGATTTTGCGAACACGGATCAACCGATTTGAATAATTCAAAAAACATTCGGCTCCTACTGATAAGGAGGCGTGCTGATTAGTTTTTAGCAAAGACAGATCTAGCCGTTTCGGAGATATGGGGCAAAAAGTGCCAAAAATGGTATTTCTGTTTTTGAGATAAAAAAAATCCAATTTGTCAATTTTTTTTCAAAAATTCCAAAATTTTCCAGAAATCTAATTTTTTCAAAGTTTTGCAAAGTTTTTTTTTAATAATTTAGTCTTTGGTAAGGAAAGTTCCAGCAATTTGCTTCAAGGCACGATGCCATGCACCACCAGTTAATACAAAAATCAAAGATTAATTTTTGTTAATAATTTGAGAAAGCTGCATTTATGATCAAATTGTTTTTTCACATTTGTGCGTTTTGGAGGTTAGGTTTTATGTGTAAAACGTCTGATCACACAGCAAATACATAGGTTTTTGACAGTTTGTGACTACCAACTCCATTTCGAACTTACACAAGAACTCTAATTCTATTTTATCTGAAAATTGGCCTGAGATTACCAACTCTATTTTTATTAACTTATCAACGCTATTTCTATTATCAACTCTATTTCTATTTTACATAAGAATTGGCCTTATTTGTTCGACGAAACTGATAACTACCAATGCCAGATTGTTCAAGTAAAAAAAAATATTAAAACCACATATCGATTTTTTTTTATTAAGTGTGCCTTAATGAATTAATTATCTGAAAGAAATTATTTATAAGGAATGTACAAATGCTAACTTAATCAATCAATTTTCTTAAATTATTTATCTACATTTTCAACCGTAGGGTAAGTTACAGTACTCGTAAAATAAATCGAAAATGAATATTTTTATATATCTTTACGCTTCAGAAGTTTCTGAACATTTTGGCATACCTTAGAAAAATATGGACGTATGTTCGTGTGTGTGTGTGTATCTCTATGCAGCTAAAGGAGCGCGATTGCTTTAAAAAATATGACAAAATCAAAATTTTCAAAATATTTAAAAATATGAAAAATAATCGTTTTTTTTTTTTTCAAAAAAGTCATTTTTTAACAAAATTCAAAATTTTCAAATCTATGTTATTTAAGTTAAAAACTTGAATCTTTTTTAAAATAATTAATTTTTGGTACGAGAAGTTCAGCAATTTACCTTAATGCACGATGCCATAGACCACTACTTTGTCTTTGTTTGGTACTAGTCCTTTCTACTTCATAGCTCTAGTACAACTCGACATTATATTTTAATTCAATATGAATT